TTACACGAGAAATTTTCAGCTTACCTGTTTTGTTTAGTTTTTTCACTTTAGTTTCTCTGACAGGATACACCAGCTGTCTGTTGGTGGACAGCCATTATCTTGTAATTCTTAGGTTTTGATCTTGGCGTCTTTTCCCAGTTCATATCACGTGGTTTGCCTGCAGCAGTGGAAAAAAGATCTTCTCCTTAAGAGTCTCTGTTTGATCAGTTTCTTTTTCGCCGAGCCATAATTAAGGCTCGCTTTTAAAAGCTGCAGCGATTCCTCACAGATCCTCTATCATGCCCTAGGTGTCCCAAACTGCCCTTTCCACAACCCCTGCACTATAATAAATACACAAAGCTACTTAGTTTGTCCAGCCATTAAGGTGAAATAATGTGATGGTGGGGGTTATGTGTGCCCGGGGGCGGACGGTTTGCTTCTTCAGGCCTGGTTAGCGTTCACAGTGCCGCGTGCCGAAGAGGCCTCGCAGATGTTCACAGGAGGAAGAAACCGGCAGCTGACAGCTCCTCCGGCTCCCACTCGCAGACAAATGTCTCGTGGACGCCGCGTGTGGGGCATCAGCAGTCCTCCCAGAGCTCCTCCATCTAAGATTCATGCGGAGCGCCGAAGAGAAAGGGCAGGCAAAGAGCACCTCCCAGAGGTTTTCCTCCCGAAATAATGCAGTGCCACACCTCTGCAGGGCTTCTCTTACATCTCGTCCCCCGTGCTGCTTCTTGATCCCTTCGGTTTCACATTTCACCGCTTCCAAAAACAACTAAGCAAAGATTTTTTGTTACTTTTATTTATTTTATTTTGCTTTGCTGGAATGTAAAGGATTATCAGATTAGCCGATCTTGTCGTTTGAAGTTGATTTGGGCTGTTTATATTATAAAAATATTTTGTTTTTTGTAAAAAAAGAAAAAACAGGTGCACTGATTATTCAGCAGGTGACAAAGCTGTCTCTGGATTTAGTGGATTTTTTTATTATTATTTTCCTTTGTTGCAAAACTGACCAGTGACCAAAAGATTCAGCTCTCTAAAGTTCTGACTGTAATTTACATGATCAATGTTGCTTTAAATAACTGATTTTGTTGAAAAATAATGCTAATAAAAAGGTCAACGCACTGGTTGCATAGCAGGTGACTAAATGTGGTTGATTTTTCACCTTTAACAAAATTGACCTGCAATTATGCACAAATATTGTGGGCCATTACTATGATTTAGAAAAATGACTGACATATTTCAAGAGTGGAGAACGACTGAGCTTTTATAGCTCACTCAAACACAACAATCAAAAGCAGCTCTGAGCATGCAGCACTCTAAACGTATTTATGTAGAATGAAGTTTAGTTTGATCTGATGTTATTTAAAGTTAATTTAAGGCCTGAATGAGACAATATATCAAGAGCAAATCCTCATAAAGAGCAAAGACTGGCTCATTTTATGTGATAGTGACTTTTTAAATAAACATTAAGGACCTTGGTTCTGATGCCACTCTTTGTCCTGTATCAAAAATCAATAATTCCTTAATATTAATGGAAAAAAGTACCACTAGCAGATTATTTGAGATAAGAAAATATCTTGTTATAAGTGAAATAATCTGCCGAACTTTTATTTTTTCATCAATATTAAAGAATTGACTTAAAACAAGCTACTATATGTTGTTGATAAATCAGTTTTGTCTTAATTCAAGTGTACTGAAATATTTGCTCTACAAACTAGACAGAAATGACTGATTTTGTGTTTTTGCAGTGTGTAAACTTGGACTGTATTCCTGTATTGTTTAGACATATGTTTGTAATTTTCACTTTCAGTTTTAATGGCTGACATATTTCAACACTAAACTTGGCAAAGACAAAAAATACAGCTACACAGTCTCTAATAAGAAAGCTATATTTGGTAAATGGTTTTGGTAGAATAAAAATCTCCAACTGTTGATTACTAAGCTTTTAATGCTGCTCTATTACTGCTTAACTAGAAAACAAAACCTGAGCATGGGCGGACCGAGACAGGGGCCAACGGGGGCCAGTGTCCCCATAGCTGGCCCTGGCCCCTGTACTGAAGTGATAACTAAATTACTAAACAAGAGAGAGGAAAGAAAAATGTAAATGCAACAATTACTGTAGATTTTTTGTTGGCATTTAAAAGTATTACTTTACTTTTAAGGCAATACTTTAAAATAGAGATAATGTATAAATACATAAAAATGTTCTTCAATATTGGTGGTGGTAGATGGATTAGTTTGATATAATCTTGGTAAAGAATGGCGAATATAAATGCACAGATGTCAAGGCAGATGACCTAAGTGAGTTTCGTTTATCGTCTGGACAAAAGTGAACTGAGAACAAATTTTTAAAAAGTTTTAACTTTGGTTTTAAATTTTTGATTTATGACTGAATTTTTCCACAAAAGATTCAGAACTCAAAATTCCAGTTTAATTATTTTTAGTTTCTTCTAAAAAACATCCTCAATTTTTTTTATATTTGTGTGTGTTGTCTGTCCATTAATGCAACCTTTTAGAGAAAATAATAACAAAAAGAAATCTTCAGTGTTTTACTATTTTCAACAAGAGATATTGAAAATATTCATGGAAACCAGGAAATAAACTATCAGGAAACCTGTAAGAATCCAAGTCATTCAGCACGCACTGTCATTCATCTTGTACAATTTGAGCAAAAGCTTTTTTATTGTTTCCTCCAACATTAAGAAAGCTTGAAATGGAGACCGAAAAGTTGCTAGAGCACAGAGTAACTGCAACGGCAAGCCTGTCAAAGAAGAATGAGGTGAGGAGAAAAAATACCAAGTCAGGAACAAAAAGGGGATAAAGTACAGGCAGAGGGTCAGATGAAGGATGGGCGACGCCAGGCGAGTGGCGGAGCAGCAGAGGAAGGCAGTGATGTAGTGGTGGCGGGGGAAAGGAAAGAGTAAAAGTGGAGTAATAATGGATGAACACAATAGAAGTGCATTAGAGCTGGAGGTGGCACTTGAGTTTCTGTGGAAGGAGGTTTTGTATTAAGGACACATCTGAATATCCCTGTAATTCTTGATCCAGGGTCATTTTTTTTTTTCTGCGAGTAGTTATGTAGAAAAGCAGATAATTTGTATAGATTATCTCCAAAATCGGTCCTGACAACGTCATGGAGGCACAGAAAATGTACCCATCCAGATGATTTAAGAGATGTCTTCGGTTTACTCAGCGGAAGTTCAAAGCGTGCCAGGAAATCACGTTGTCACCCTCCCGTCTCCTCTTCAGCTTCTTGCCGCGGCTTTCCCCACACATGGGTTCGCGCGGCCACACATGCACCCCCCCTCCCACCACCACACCCCACCCATGTGCTCTCATGTGGCCCCCAGAGAAGCCTGTCACTGTGAGTGGCCTTCTGCCACGGGAGGATAAACTACCTGTCACGCCGGCGACTTTCTGTGGAATTCATATCAGAGGCAAAACAAAGGAGGTGCTGAGGTCACGGGGCATCACTCTTAAATTATTCATCCTCTGCTTCCTCCTTCCGTCTCCTCTCGGCCTGTCGCCTACTTTGTTCTGCCAGATCACAACAAGGGCAACTGTCAGTGTTCTCCCCGACTCCCGGGCTTTTTTTGGGATGCTAAGTCAATAAGCGGCACGCCGAAGCCCCCCGTCGGAAAAGTTAGTGTTTTGGGAGGGTGCGTTGAGTTCGGGTTAATCACGTGACGAGGTTCAGGAGAAGGAGCACGTCTCCACTTCTGAATGTCACAGCATCATAAAAATTTTAAAATATTCTTTCCCTCCCACTCGTCGTTTGGTCTCCCTGAGTGCATAATTTATCAGCGTCTTGGCAGCTGCTTGTTTGCATACACTTTGCAGGACGTCTCCGAGTCGGATGGCCTGGAGATTCAGGGGTAGCTGATTTGAGAACATGTAGAGAGGAGAGTACGCAGACGCTCTGCTCCACAGGCTACAGATCAGGCTACAGTCATTCTGAGGATTTAGCAACTGGACTGTAAATGAAGGACAGAAATAAAAAAATGTCAATGAAGACACAATATTACAACTATTTCTATATTTACACACAGTTAAGCTCCAAACTATTCATACCCCTGGTCAGCAGGTGTAGCATTTCTCTTGTGACCAGGAGGTCGTGGTTCAATTCCAGCTTTCTCCTGTTGCATGTTGATGTGCAATGCACTTACAAAGCTGCGTGTCGCTGTATAAATGTGTTCATTTGTGTGGAAAAATGCTGCAAGTTCAGTCCATGTAAAATAATATTTATTGAATCTTTTTGCAAAATTAGCATATTAAGATATTAAACAACGTAAAGTTTGAAAATAACTTGCTTTTAGTTACATCTCTTTTTAATAGCTTGTGGAACCAATTTAGACACTCAATGAAACAATCTTTACTGCCACTATAATTTACCGGTGTTTACATGTCTCCACTGGTATTTTAATGTTGGATTTTTTGATTTGTGTTTATCTAGCTAGCACCAACTGCTGAGTTCTCTGTTTTAGCCCTATGTGTCCCTTCTGTTCAACCTCAAAATATTTTTTTATGTCTATTTTTCTAGCCGTCCAACCATGGATTAATGGTTTCACTTCTACCCCTAAATAGTAATTTTTGATGAGACAAAATTGCAAAATTAAAGACAATTTAAGCACTATGTTAAAGTTATTAATTTGCTGTTTGTTCCCTGATACGTTACTGTAATTTAGGTGGATTTTAAGCACACACTCTCATTCGGTTTTCTCTTATTTTCATTTGCAGATAATATTCCTTTTAGTCTCAGTGCCAGCCACTGTCAGCCCTAAAAGAGAATTTATTTAATGATAGCTAAAGAATAGTTAAAGTCAGATGAATCAACACTTCAGTCTTTATTTGGAAATCCTGGTTACCAGGCATAATTAAAAGGAAACTCATTTCCATGGAGACGTTGGTACTCACAATATGGAAGATGCCAAGGGAGGGCAACAAAGTCAATGTGGCGCCTCTTCTTCTATGTCCATGTTCAACATGCTCTGATGACTTGTGTTTTTGTCCAATTCCAGAAACATCTTTCTTCTCTGGGTTTGAGTGACGCCTGGGACCAGAAGGCAGCCGACTTCTCCAGGATGTCCGACAAGAGCAAAGGGAAGCTTCACCTGGGTGGCGCCCTCCACTGGGCTTCCTTAGAGCTCGATCCCACAGCTGGTGAGCAGGACGCAGATCTAGAGGAGGAGAACATAGAGCGACCCAAGCTGTTCTACGCCGACCATCCGTTCATCATCTTTGTTAGAGATAACGCCACTGGAGCCCTGCTGCTGATGGGCGCTTTGGACAACGTCGAGGAAGAGCTCCTACATGATGAACTGTAGCATCTCTTTCTACTTCCTGTCTTTTTTCATTTCTTCCACCGGTTCTTCTGTGGGACAGCTTGCTGGTTTCTGAGTGCAGACATCGTCATTCACTGCGGCACTCTTTCACATCACGCTGTCATACGCTGACACCGCCATAGTCTTTTGGCTGACTGGCACTGACACCGCCATATCCGACATTTACACTGTCACACACTCAGAGCTACACCTACACTGCATGTATAAATGATAACTCTGTACAAGACATTACTGAAGTTGACGGATACAGGATAAACCTCCAACTCAAGAGAAAATTGATGGCGTTTCTTTTTCTTCCAAAATCTGCCCCCACGCAGAACCCTTCAGAGACTGATCAAGTCAACAGACCCGACAAAAAAGATCACTGTAACGAACCGCCACACTGACACACAGGAGAGTGCTTAAAGAGACAGAAGCTCTCATTGTCCAAAAAACACCAGGACTGGATCAGGAGTGACACCGCGGTTGCTCTGGGTTTCCAGAGACCTGGACCAGCGTCCTCTGAGGGTCAACAGGGGAAGATTGATGGTCCACCCAAGTGCTTATTGATGAGTCGGATAATGCTAATGACCGTAATGCGTTAGAGTGTGTCAACAACATGGAGAGGATGGGCAAACCTTTTAATCTCTTAAATCCATCGCTGATCAATGATGCCATTTTATCAAATGAATCGAACTTGACTGACGTTGCGTGACCTAAATGTAACAAATTCATGTTAATTGATTTCAAGAGGTCAATGAGTTATTGACGGATGCGATTTAAAAAAAAAATAAAATCTAAAATCAATAATAATGTTGTGATTTTAGTCTTTTGTTTTGGGTCTTTGTTTCACTTTGTTCTCAGAAGTGGGAATTTCTTGTTGCAAATAGGAAAAAACCTGAAACTAACCTTCGTTTTCATCTGGCCTCGAACTCTTCCACAGATGAGTTTTGCTCAGTCGCTCATTTCATTCTTAAACCATGAACACTGACTCTGTTCAAGGCCAGAAAACCTGCTGTGCTTTATTTGTCGTTCTTGATCTTTTGTTGCCTCCTGGTTGAGGTCACTTTGATTGCCAGCCGTTACTGGGCAGGTTCATGACTCTTCCATGTCTTCTCTATTTGTGGGTAATGACTTTCACTGCAGATTGAAATGTGTTGAGTCTGCTTCATGTTCTCAGACAGGTTCCATTAAAGTGATTTCTTGATTCTGTGAGTCAGCTGTGGGAGCAGCTGGTGGAATTTTACTTCACTATCCAAAAATATGGATATTCAAACTATTATATTGATAAGGCTGCTGCTTTTTCACATATAGGGGTGTGTTGGTTTGGATTGACACCATCATTTAAAAGTTGTATTTTGTAATTGTCTGATCTAAAACAAAAAATGTTTTCTCTGAAACATTTGAGTGTGACAGAAAAGCAAAGTAAGAAGGGCAAATATATTTTCACAGCAGTGTTTCGAGGGAGGTGATAAGTCTGAAAACATGAAGCATTGATAAAACTGGACTGAAGACCAGGACAGCCACAGGGTCATGGCAGAATGACAGATAAAGTAGCAAAACAGCTACCAGGAGAACGAACAAAAGCATCAGTACACACAGAACCTAAAACCTGAACTGATGCTAAAACTCAACCCAGGTCTCTCTTGTTGTTGGTGTAGCTCAGAAAGTGCACTTTGAAAGGATGTATCCACAAAAACATGCTCTTAGTTCTCGGTGTGAATATAAATGCTCCAAAGCGGTTGGCTACCTCTGCTTTTTCACTCCAGTCAGCAAGTCCTCGCTGCGGCCGAACACAACAAACATCTGTTTCCATCTACTTCAGGCCGGCTCTTTCTCCTGACCCATCTTGAGCTTTACCCGCGGCAAGGTGATAATGGAGGGTCCCCTTTAGCATCTCTATCGGCAAGCTGACCCCAAGTTGAGTCACTTCTATGATTTTTCTTCTGAAACCCAAGTGCTGTGCTGTAATTGGGATGACTGTGCTCTGAGTGCTCTTCCTGCTGTCTCACTCTTTCTTATTTCTTTTTACCTCCTCAGTCATTTGGCCTAACCTAAAGGTTAATCCATTGCAGAGGGCAAGGAAGAAGACAGGAAGTTCACATTCCTACTTACATTATGTTTTATTTAAAAGGACAGATTAAACATTAAAACGTGGTTTTATTTTTTCATGTGAGAGGGAAACTGCAGTTGGTGCAAGTGTCAAGTTAATTTACCATAAAAAAAAACACTAAATAAACTCCCATACGGAAAAGACAATCAGAAACAAGTATTGAAAGCAAAACATCTCCGAATATATCTTCGAATGGTAGAGTTGCATCTTAAATCACCTCATAATCCAGAGCAAATCCAGATATAATTTGTAAAATGATATGACGAAGTTCACTGCAAGTATCAGATATGTGGGCAAATACCCAGTTTAATTATCAATATTTTCATGATCCTCTGAGATCAAATAAACTCTCCTTATGCTGATTAACGCTGTGTTTGAATTGTTCTCGAATCTGGGAATTGCCTTCCCACCAGAGTTGAGCAACGTTCGCGGCAGAAGACCAGTGGGATTTATTAACTGTTGTGGTGATAACTAAAAGTAACAAAACAAGCCAAAAACAACATTTTGTATTTCTCCTAATTTTATGAGCTGAAACACCAAGGGAAAATTTTTTAACAAAAATATACAATGTATGTTTTTGTACGCCTGTGATTTATTGTGATGCAAAAGGTCAGAACTATATTTCATTTATTTTTTATGCAACCTTCACTGTGATTTATTCACCATTGAACTCAGAGCTGCATAGAGATATCACAACTTCTACTATCATATTATTCTTTAAATAAAACACTGAAAACAAAAAGAAGCCAAAGGTTTGTATTTAAGAAGTAAGTTACTTTAGCCTGTGCAATGTTAGTAAATGTAGCAACTATGACTTGTGACAAACTGACACATAACTCAGTCAAGTATTTGATTTAGATTTTTTGCAGACACTGTAAACTTGAAAAAAAAAAGATTTGCATCTGAACTGCATGGTTTTGTTGAAAAAGTTGCATCTGTCTTCATCTGCTGTTTAGACAATTAAACTCTACTAATGTTCATCTGAAACATTTTCTGCTGCATTAAACAACAAGCATCAGTAATTACAATGCTGGTAATGTAATTATTTAATGAGATAATAGTTAATGTAGCTCAAGCAATTGTTTGCAATATTGTCGTTGCCTTTGGTGATATTGGTATAAAGATAAATGCTTATAGATTGTGCAGCTTTCACTTTACTACAACTGTTAGTTCTGTGGGTGAAATAGAAAATAGTGAAATAGATTATCTGTTTCTGCTTTTTCAAATCATAGAGGTTCATTATTGAGTCAAATTCAAGAATACAATTTTTTCTTACTATCCATACCTGTCTGTACTTGCAGTAAAGTGTTGGAAGTTGTATCAGAAAAACTACTGAACTGCTGAAAATGTTATTTTTTATGCTATTACTCTGCATTCAGGAATTTTCTCTTGCCTAAAACTTACGCTTTGTAATGCACATTGACATGGAGCATCACTGATGAGACAAATAATAATAAAAAAATAAAATAGCTGATATTATAAACATTGCTTTATGCTTGAAAGCAAACATTTCCATTTAAAGAGAATATCAAAACATTGAGATTAAACCAATGCAGGTCTAAATACCAAATATATTGGGATATTTTGCTTCCTCCTCAGGTAGGTTGGGTAAAAAGGATGCAAGGCTGCTACCCAACACTGCGAATTGATTTTTTTCTTTTCTTTTACCTTTCCTTTCCTTGTAAGTCACATTATGTTTGGCTAGCTGTGAGTCGATGTAGACATGCATGTGTTTGTCAGTGTTCTGACCTGAATAAAATGTGAAGGCGAGCCGGCTGGGAGCTGGTGTTAGAATGGGCAGGATTGATGTGCTCACAGCAGACAGCCTCAGATCCATCATCAGCCTGTCTAAATTGAGCGCATGGGTTTATTCATTGTGGAGTGTACCTGCCGCATTGTGCCCTTTTACCGGTCTGAGCGGCGCAGGAGGCCTCTGTAGAGAAAACGGCACGGCAAAGCTTGCAGTTGCTAAGCAGAGCCGTACAAAAGGGGCTAATTTGGGTAAAAGCTGGAACACTGGAGTGTTTGAAAAGACTTTGTTGAATGCTGCGAATCAGACAGACCAGCTGTGCGTCTAGACAGCGTTTCTTACAGTAGCAGTAGAACAGGACAGGCGCAGCCGATATTTACTTGTTTTTACCTTTCGTGGAAGTGCACATCTTTTTCTGGCTTTGTTTCTGGGCTTTCAAGGCATCTGGGAGGGAAACTGCACAAATGTCCTGTGTGTGCAGACAGATGGACAGTCAGACTGAAATGTTGTTCTTTAAATAAAACACTGAACACAGTGAGAATGCCAAATGCAAACAGCGTTTTAAAAGGGAAGGCAAAAGGGGCGCGTTTGCTTTGCTCCCTTTTAAATAAATTTTTTTTCTCAATTATTCATTTGTGTAAATGGAGGAAACATCTTAACTGTGGTTGCTTGGAAGCATTTGGTGAGTGTTTCGACAAAGTTTGTGCTACGCTTCAAAGTCTTGTCATGAGTTGCCTTGAAAATTGAATAACTGATGCCGGTTCAGGGCTTTAAATCTACTTCCATGCACCCTTGAGGCCCAGCGTCAGCCAACCCAGCTGGGGTGGAAATGAAAAAAATAGAAATGGCCTCATGTCTTTAATTCGTAGCTGTGTGAGGAGATAGGAGTGGCATTTCTCACATTGCTGGTAAATTGCCAAATTTTGGACATATATGTAGCAACATGAACGCAAAGATGGACAGAAATGTGTTGTTTTTTTTCATCATCTCAAAATTCCTTACATTTGACCTTTGAGAAAATAGCTTTTTTTATTTTTTATAATTAATTCAAAGATCCATTCCTGTCCAGGCTTTCTAAAAGTCTTTAAGTTGTGTTTAATAAATCTAAGCATACAAATGGTCATAAACTCAACTACTTTTTTAACACCTAGAAGAAAAGTAAGAATTTTCTCTATTTTTTGCATAATTTAAAACAATAAGAAACTTTTTTCCAAACAATAAAACAATATATTTAAAAGGGAGAAAAGCAAACTCGTCCCTTTTGCCTTAGATTCAATTGACGACTATTTAAATATCTATGCCTGTGGTCCTTGGACATCAAAAAACTATTTTATATGATAAGTTTACCAAACTTAAGAATATGACTGGTTCCTTTCATGGCACAGATCCAGCAATTAAGCATCGTTCACTGGAAGAAGTTTAATATTAACCCGCATTATTTGTTCCAAATAGATGTTTGGGAGGAAATCCCAGCTGGATTAAACAGTTATGTCCCAGTTTCAGCCACTTAACTCCAACAGTCGGCGTTAGATGAAAATAAATTGGTTTGGATCTTCAGCCAAAACAAACAATAACTACAATGACACAGAGCTGATAATTACTGGAACAACAGTGGCACTATCCACAGTGAAGCCAGTTTAACATCAACAATGTCAACCGAGAAAGAAGCAGTTGTTCAAAAATTACCACTTTACTAAGACAGACAAGTCTGGAGAAAAGTTTTGTGAGGAGACTTTTGTAATTTATTTAGTAAGAGCAATAATTGTAAAACGAGAAAATGAACGTCAGGCAAGGAGGAATTTCTCTAAATACTTCACCTTGTGTATATAGAAGCAAGATAGTTGATGCTTTGAAGCAGTTCACTTTTTGTTTTTTTGTTTTTTTATTTTTAGAATAAAT